CTGTTGGAATATTAGACGTTAATGTTTTTGGTAGCATACTATTATTATACATAAAGCTGCACATCACTGAATAGTGTACCTTCAGTAGTTACAAATTCATATACTGTTCAAAAATGTGCATGCAAAAAGTGACAGTAAAGACATTTGTAATCAAATATCAAAGATTTCTATTTAAAATAAATGCTGTTCTTTTGAACTTTCTATTCATTAAAGAATCCTGAAAAAAATGAATCACATTTTCCACTTAAATAATAGGCAGCACAACTGTTTTCAACATTGATAATAATGTTTTTTGTTTTGTTTTGTTATTAGAATATTAGATATTATTAGATATTGTATTAGAATGATTTCTGAAGGATCATGTGACACTGAAGACTGGGTATTAAAATATATATACATTTAAATAAAAACAGTTATTTTAATTATATAAATAATATATAAATAAATACAATATTACTGTTTTTTTTTTTGTTTTGTTTTTTTTAATAAATGCAGCCTGGGTGAGCATAAGAGACTTTCATAAACATAAAAAAAAAAATCTTTCCAACCCCAAATTTTTGAATGATAGTGTAATTTTAAAATGTACAAATGTAAAGTCCTTGGACACTTAATTTGTTAGGTTTTAAATGATAAAACTATACTTCATACAGTATATTCATATGTTCATAGTTAATATGATTAACTCCACCTGTGTGAATTTGAGGGACACTGACTGTATACATCCAATAAAAATCACCAAATGGTGCAAAAACGGCACAGAAAGTGAAGTTAGTTCTAAGCTCTAGCAGCATATGTTTGATATTTTGTTACTGAATAAAGCTTTATTCATATATTAAGTCTTATATGGGTACTTTACATGAACTATTGGCCTGACAATTGAAGCATTATTCAGTGTCTGCTGTATGATTTAATTACTCAGTTTCTTTATTTTTTTCCTTCCAAAACACTTTCCAAACATCCTCCACTAGATTTCCACATACCATTCTTGAAATCAGACATTAACTAATGGTGCACTTGAAGTCATGTCCTCCTCCACCTCTCATTCCCTCATTATCTCTCCGTTTATAAGAATATGTCTACTTGCATCAGACAAAATTTCCTATGTGTAATATGATTACAGCAAACTAAGGAAATGCAGTATCAAAGTCACATGAGCATGTGGACAGCCTCACCCTCAGATAACACGGAGTACTATTTTTCTCTCTAATTGGCATGCAATTATTCAACAAGGAGAAATCTAACGTCGCAATTTTTGACATTACACACACTAATTTCATCAAGTGAAACACTAAAAACAGTATCTGACCGCGAGATGAAAGCAAACTTATAATGGAGAAAACATCCAAAACAACCTCACATATGGCATGAAAAAAAAAATACTAAGGAGAAATGTGGAAGCACCATTTTCCTGCTACCACAGGGCAAAATAAAAATATATGAAAATGTAACTGAACTAATATGACCTTTAGATTATTATTTTTAAATAATTGTATTAGTGGTGCCTTCTAAGCCAAACAACTGCATAGCAGCACATTAAAAACACATTGTCCCCTCTGTCGACTAGCATGACTGTGAGTTTTACACAGGCAAGTGTAATGTACCAAGTTCATATTTGACTTTTTCAGTGATTTTGTGGGCTGTGACTGGGACAAAAAGTTCTTAATGAACTAGCCATGTTCTTTTGTTGCAATATCTCAGAATGATTTATAGTACAACAAGCAATCAGAGACTACAGTGGGAGTCTACAAGCTCCAACCCCAGCCAAATGTGATTTCGGAATGTCTGACTTGTGACTGGTGGGAGAGGTCAAACGCAGCTCCTAATAAGGACGAGAGGGATTCTAACAGAAGCAGGAAAAAAAGATATAATGTTAAAAGGATTCTGGCCAAAGAACACGCCATTCTTTGCTCAGACACTTCCTACTTCGCTGGTCCACTCGTGCGCGCACACACACACACACACACACACACACATACACACACCAGTGTTTTTGAAATGAACTTGGCCTGCAGACAGACAAGTCCAAACTACAGAGGTTTGTGAACATATTTGCATATTTCTTTCATATCCTGTAAGGAAGTCAGCGAGTTCCTCTAGCAGTTATCATGACAAAATTGCCGTGACATGCTATACATCATCTAAAGCTATTTTAAACAGAATTCTTTCTATTTATAACTACTATGCATGAAGGTTTTGGCTTCTCATATTCCTTGATAGACTGCATGGGATACCTGGAATGTTTCTGCATACCGCAGGACAATTTTTTTTTTGTTGCAAATGTAAAAAGTATGTATAGTAATGACAATGATTGTTTTCAAGCAGGTTTTTCAAAATACTCTCCTTGTCTGCTATTGGTAAAATAAACAGATAGTACCGCCTAAAAGTACTGTAAGATCATTGGTTAAGCCATAAAATAAAGTCAGGCAACTTGGAATGTTTTTGAAAGCAACAAAGAAGCAGTTTGGGAAGTAAACACCAAATGGCTCGGTTACATATTTTATTTATAATTTAAATAAAGTATTTAGAGACTTTCAGAAAAATACCTCAAAAGAAAATACCGTATTGTCCCGAATATAAGACGATGTTTTTTTCTTGGAAATACATCTGAAAAAACGCGGTCGTCTTATATTCAGGGTAAGGCGGGGCATAGAGGAGAAACAATAATGTACAGTATGTGGAAAATAATGTGTTTTTTTAACTTTAAACCGCATAAACACATTTCATTACACCAAATACACAAAATAATGTTCTTTTTAGCAGCATCATATGACCCCTTTAAAAAATAACCTAGAAATATTTTTTCCTTAAAAATTACAATTAAAAATAATTATAAAGACATAGCAAAGTTAAAGCAAACTTTTAGGGAATATTTACGCTTTTTATAAAAATCTGCAAATAATTGGGAAGGGAAGGGAAGGGAAGGGAAGGGAAGGGAAGGGAAAGGAAAGGAAAGGAAAGGAAAGGAAAGGAAACTCTGACACTGAATAAAAATTTTAAAGAGCTATTTCTGTTGTTGTTTGAAGGAAAACCACAATTTCTCACATGAAAACTTCATTTCTGAATCCAGCAATGACAACTGCAAAAATAATGACTGTTTTCAAGCAGGTTTCCTGAACACTCCCCTTGTCTGCCATTGGTCAATTAAACAGATAGTCCCACCTCAAAGTAGCATCGCTGGCTTAGCCGTAAAATGAGCACTTGAATAAACAAAGCAATATTTTTGAAAGCAACAGAGAAGGGAATTCAACCAACAAACGGCTCACTTATATTTGTCTATCCCCAATAGAAGAAAGTATTATATTTCACAATTTGAGTTGAATTACTGAAATAAATGAACTTTTCCACGACATTCTAATTTATTGAGATGCACCTGTACATAAAATTACAATTGTGAGAAATAAAATCATGATTACATTTAATATTTACTGAGGCAGAACACAGCTTCCATAGGAAATGGTGAGCAATCATAGCATCTAAAAATAAACACTTTCCCTTGAACATTTATATGAACTTTAACCTAAAATAATGGGGGAAAACAGTTCATGCATATGTAATTTTTGTCAGTTACCCGCTTATGCATGTGTATGTGACAGAAACAGAGACAGAGGCCATTCAGGCTGCAGGTGCAGAGAAGTCCCCTTGTCTCAGAAATCACAGACGGGCCGTGTGCACAGACTTCAGACAGACGGTTCCACTCAGGCACTGGGGAAAATCACAGGTAATGCTCGCCCTCATTCTGAGAACAAGAGAGGAGTGCGTGTGCACTCACTTCCTGCTGCCACAGATGTTGCGGTTTGTGTTTACCTCCGCCCACAAACATTGTCGTCTGTGCATGGAGCCCAGCTGTCAGCTGGTTTCGTCATCGTCATCACAGAGGCACACGCTGTTATCGCTAATCAGACCTGTTTCACCCTGACTGAGTCTGCTTTTGAAATCAGTCAAATGATGAAGCCAATGTCACCCACTGTTCAGACTACCATAGTTCCTCCAACCTCATAGCGGGTACATTACGTAGACGGATGACCTACAAACTCAAATTTAGCTTTTACACTCCTGAATATAGCTTTATTTAACTAGAGAAACCTATAGCGCCTAGTGAAAAACACGTAAAATAAGTAAAATAATATGAATAACGCATTTATAAAATATATTTAAAAAACTAAACTAACCAACTAACTAAAATAACTGTCTAAATAGACAGCAATACAATAAAATGATTATTCATATATTAAAATGTAAGCACACTTGTAATTCTCGAAATAACCAACAAATCCTAAATATGCGTTCTAACCTATTTCTATTTAGTATAGTTTATATTTTGAATAAATAAAAATAAAATGTTTCATGAAACAAACACATCATATAAACAAATAAAAAAGTAAAATACAACATGTATAACTCAAAAAGTAAATAAATAAATATATAAATAATTCACAACCAGAGACTGGGTCAGTGTTTTTCTCAGAATTGCAATTAAATGTGATTACGAAGATATAGCAAAGCATAAGCAAACTTTTAGCAAATATTTTTTGTGTTTGAAAAATAAACATAAAACACAAAAATTACAATGTAAAATATTGGGGAATTTCTGTAACTATTTTTGTTGTTGGTTGAAGTAAAACCAACATTTATAATATGACATTTTGTAAGCGGATGTTTAACAAATCTTTCAGCTATTTTTCATGATCCCATTTCTCCAAATAACCAACAAATTTAAAAACCACTGTCTCTAATGCTGGATATAAATCAAGAGGATATAGTGGCATGTCTGAATCACAACCTACACTAAAATACTCACTTCCTCTGGTCTTACTTCTACAGAAATGAGAACTACAACTACTTCTATGTAATAAAAAAAAAAATAAAAAAAATTCCTTAAAAAGGACAGTTCATCCAAAAATGAAAATTTTGTCATCATATATGATCACATGAAGATATTATGAAGAGTGTTAGTAACAAAACATTGTTGTTACCATTGACTTCCTCTGTGTGGAGGGAAA